ACAATTACATAAATCTCATTAGTGTTTTTGTTTTACTGTAATTCATTTCAATTATTTGTTAGTTATTAATATGCTCAAACTTAGATACTTAAGTTAAGTTTTCATTGTCATCATTTCTGTCGTTAAGTTTTACCTTGCAAGTAAATAAAACCGAGTAATTAGCATTCTGTGTTTTCTTTTTCAACTTATCACAGCAATAGTAACAACAATTAGGTAATCATTGGCTGTCGCAGGCCGGATTGATGACACTGGCGGGCCGCATTTGGCCCGCCGACCGTAGTTTGGAGACCTCTGCATTAGTCCATCGAGCCCTAAAACTGCAGTACAAATAGCTTCATCATAAACACCAATTGTAACTTCACTTGGTAGGTAATCGTGTAGAATAAACAAATACAAAATGAAGAGAATATCGAATTCAAACTTAACTAGGCAAAATAAGACTTTTTTGAAGTATACTTCACAAAAACACCTATGAAACCAAGGTAACAGGTTATATAGAAGTTTTAAACAGATTATAATATTAATGATCAAAATATTCCCACTAACCTTCGATTTGAAAGGCAGATGTGGATGCTCCGAATAGAAAGTTCTTAGGAAACTTTTTGTTGTTCAATTTTGCATCGTCAGCTGAACTGTAATTGGGAGAAATACCATTAACTTAAAGTGAAGAATTTCAAAAAAAAATTCTACTGTACTTATTCAGGTTATTTATAAACTCACCCAACATACNAAAATCATTTTGTAAATATGTCCTTTTCTGCCAGTCTTCTTCGGTAATATTAGATACTTCTTCTTTAAACAACTCTATTACCTTCTTATCAAATTTTGGAAAATTATTTTTACGCCTGTTTAATTTTCCCCAAATCAACTCGATGGGAATAAAAACACAAAAATAGGGGGGAAGTCTCAATATGCTGTGTCCATACTTTTCAGCAATACTCTACTACTACATACACTTTTTCAAATGTTTTTGTCTGTAAAACTTCAAGTAGTTGGTTTTTGGTATAGTTACCTTCAAAATACAAATTGTTATCCATTGAAAAACTTTATATTTCATCTTTCCTCGAATTTTTATTCGGTACTTTGATGAGCTGTCGCGAATGATAGGAAGCGATAGGATCAATGTGTTCTCAAACAATTTCTCGAAAATATCAGCTTCCATGTTCTTACGATAGTCAACATTGCAGTTCCCAAGTTTTTTCCACATAATTTCAAGGAATTCGGATTAGTTGCGATCCTTTGTTTGCAGGCATGTTAGGCGTACACATTCTCGAACCATCAGTCCACCTTTCGTTGTTATTTTCTATATTTAGTTATTTGTTCTAAGTATTTGTTACGCAATTACACAATTCTTCTTCTTTCCATAACTGCTTGACGTTTGTTTATTATTTTAAATCTAAATCCTAGTTTCTTTATCCATTTCTGAAGAGTTGTGTCACAGCAGATCATGTTATGGCCGGAAGTATACAATTTCTTCCTCATGATTTCAGTTGTAGGAATCTCATTGCTTCTGTAACAGTCATATATTGTTTTTTCAATGATTTTATTAGATGAACATCAGAAGGTTTTGGTAATCCTGTATCACATCGCGTCTTGCGGTCATAAGGTTTGTATTTTACGTACAGTTGAGAAACGAATTTTGGTCAAATCTGATGTTGCTTGTAATAGTTTGTTTCCTTCGAAACCAAACTTGAGATGTAGATTCTTATATACATTTGAACATACTCTCTGTATTTCAATATTCAAAGGAATCAGAATCGTATTCACTGGTATCTCTTTTTCGCATTGTTCACCATCGCTATTGGAATCACTACACTGGAAAAAGTCTGCGTTGTTATCACATTCGTTATTACTATTAGTAGTTGTCCAAAGACGCCACATTTTAAACAGATGACAAAAATGTTAATTAATTATAACTGCATCAAGATGACTTCAAATTCAATTTTATGTCTCTTCAGCCAATCATAAAACTCGGTTATTGAAAATTATCAATACGAACAGCCAAGTCTACAGACCACGTGGACTAGTTTGCTACCGATTTATTTCTATGTGTTGGTTTTTTGGCCTTTGAGAGTGCCGACAACTTTAAGGTGCACAATATCTATGGAATGGTTTTGTTACAAAACGCAAAATCAGCGACTGCTGATTTTTCTGGTCTTCCATATTTTAGGTGTTCCTTATATCTTATTTCAATAGATCTTTCAGTCTGTTCATAATATTTTGCTTTAATTTCGAATCCTCGACTTTGTCCTTTGGGTTTCCTGAAAGGCTCTGTAGTGTATGACTTGCTTTAAAAACCAGCTTCATATCTTGTACCTTGAAAATCTTTCCAAAGTTCTTCGTGTATTGGTGGTATGGAAGTGAGATATATGTATTTATATTGGTTTTCGATGTTTCTAAAAATCGAGATTTCGTTTATTCTTAACCTAAACTATTTTTTCTTATGATATCACCTACAATAGATAGCTCTCGAGAAACCATTACTGACTGCTATTGTCACTTTTTCTTTTGTACTCCTCTCCAGCACGTTTGTGCTGTCCACAGTTTCCTTTCTAAATATATCGTATTCTAGCTTTCCACATTTACTCATTACCAAAATGACAAGAAATGGAAGTTGTCATTTATTCTCCTCATCTGTTTAGTATAATTACCGTACGCTACTGCAAGAGACAGATTAAGGCAAATATGTGTCATTTCTGAGAATTTAGTGCCCTACTATTTTGAAATAATATTATACTTCAGTTTTCTCTCCAGTAAAACATATGTGCTTTTTCTTAAGATATATGATAGAATTGGCAGACTCTTGATGAAAATCCGTAACTCACGTACCTATTCAAAAAACACTTTATTGTTAGACTTTCGCTAAACGATTTTACAAAAACTCAACACGTGTTTTGCCATACAATGGCTTCTTCGGGCGTGTCTTAACTAGTTAAGAAACGTGGTTGAGCCGGTGGTAATTTTTCCCTTCAGAATATTTCCGATTCGGTTGGTAACAAATTCTATATATGCCATTGGTGTTCTTCTACTCTCTTGGACGCGTAGCGCAGATTATGTCATAGACATAATGTGCAAAAATACATTGACCGTACTGACGAAGTAACTTTTTGACAAAAAACAATTCGATTTAAAGAATATTTATGACCTCAAAAATTCAACTATTACACAGTTCCATTTTCAGTCCTCACATTTTTCTACAAGACAGTGAGTCTTGCAAACTTTTTCGTAATAATAAGAAGAGTTTTTCCTTGTCCGAGTCCTATTCGGGCTGTTAAAATCTACATACGTAATACCAAATTTTGCGCTGAAAAGACAAAAAAATGTACTATAGTGAGTGAAAATGTCAGTTAACTCACGTGTATCCAGAAACCCACTCGAAATTATCCATCAAACTCCAAACAGAATAGGCCTTAACGTTAACTCCATCCTCATCCATAGCGTCTCGTATATTACTCAAATACTCCTGAAAAGATATTTGATAATAATGAAAGAATTTTCACACTTTTATTTCAGTAAGGACGCGTTTCGCGCCAGTAGCTTCCTCAGTTTGAAAGTCGCACTATCTTCTCTGTCAGCAAATCAAAGGGGAGATTTGAAATATCTACAAACATTTACTAAGATTATTGAAAGACTCGTATTTCACACTCTCCAAAATTAGTTGGTACAAGGTACAAGTATGGTTTCTGACAAATCTTTGGATAATTTTAAGTTTCATGTTCTGTGATCACAGATCCATCACATTCTCAATGTTTTTTTTTGTTGACTAGTGTGTTTTTGGGCTTTGTCCTTGGACATATACCCAGCTTCAAATTCCAAGACCAATAAATAGTTTATTTATGTAGGTTATAGAAATCATCGTGATCTACTGATCGCAGATCGCAAGAAATTCTCATATCATTCGAGATTAGTCGGTTTCTAACAATCAACACGATATGAACTGCAATTCTATGAATAAATAAATAACCTTACCTTGATATAACTCTCTCTGACTTTATCATCCAACTGGTCTGTGCTGTCAGCCCATCCATTCTCTGTTATTATTATATTCGGACTGAAATATTCGTCTTTGATCCATTTCAGTAATTTTCGCATTCCCCAGGGAACAAACTGTGTAAGAAGAAAAATGTTGCCAGATTGTTTCACAAATGATATATAAAAAACTTCAAAAACCGGTTAGTACAGACACTTTTTCCTACTAAACTGAAGAAAATTCAGCTATCTTCTAGGGGTTCAAAAATAATTGGACTAATTGCTAACTATTGATATTATTGGCGTTCACTGATTTGAGGTTATGTTTATTCCACACAAGGCGTTTACAACTTGCACAGCTCAACGGAAAGATAATAGGCAAGGTTAGGTTAAATATTTTTGTTTATGATTTCATAAGACAGGTCATGTCTTATAAGTGTTGAATCATTTCATTGATAATGTTAATGCTAATGGTAATTGAGGCTAATATATACTAACTTTCAACCATGACGCTGAAGAAGATAACCAATCGTCTCGTTGGTAAGCGAAAACTCCAATATCTTTAGTACTGTTGGGAGAAGATATTTCGGGTTCTTGGATTGCTTTAACCAAAACGGTTGTATAAGAGTTCAACGCAAAGAAGTCATTGGTTCCTTTGATGTAGTTAATCTCCTCCTGAGTCATCTCCGGCAATCGAGACTGGTTGAAACCCTCAAGCTTGCTTCTCATGGCGATTCTAGTTTTCATTATCTCGGGCCAGTCGCCGTAGTAGAGGGGATGTGCAAAAATTCCCCACTGGAAGAAACGGTAACATCAATTTAGTGGAGAGTGAACTCGATCCTTGGGAGTGTAAAATTGGAAAAAGAGGCATTTCACAGCTTAAAGACAAAAGATACAAAACTCCCCAATTCTTCACGGTTGAAACACAAAAGAAATACTACAAAGGAAACTTAATAATCTAAGACGAAACCCATCAACAGTTGTTGATCATAAGATGATAGATTTTACTGACAATTGATGAAAAGGAAACTTCGAACTTACCATGAATTGCATTCTAGTTTCAGCTGCGGTGATATCGTCTGTGGTGTTTGAAGCTGGCTCCGCCCATTCACCGTTCAAAACCATCGCCACTCTACCTGATAAAAACAAAATGAAAGGTTAGGAAATGGTAACGCAGTTATAGTAACAGTTGTTTTCTCATTTGAGGTGGAGCAAACTTTATTACAGTAGGGCTGTTTACACATTATTTATCTGTCTGTTTGAGAATGAGTAGATGAATGGAGGTTAATAAATAGATCTTCTATATAACATCGAATATGTGAAATCAGAACGAAATTCAAATCAACATAAAAATTACTTGCAAGGAAAAATTATTGGAATGATAATTTTTGTAAAAGGTTTACTAAATTTGAACTGACCTTTCTGTTTACTCCTAAACTCTGTATCGTACACATGCCAAATTGCAGCATGAGCTGTCAAATACCTCAAAGCGCATATATAGGTGTCTATCCCTTCAACAAAAGGCCCAGAAAGCGAGCCCATCGAACATATCGGGTAAGGTTCGTTAATTGTAAGCCAGTAAGAGACGTCATCACCAAATAGTTCGAAACAAACCCTGGAATAGTTGGCAAACCACTCGGGAAACAAAGGATTCGAAAAGCCTCCTTTATCTTGTAAGGATTGCGGCAAATCATAGTGATAAAGTGTTACTATAGGTTGGATTTGATTGATCTTGAGCTCTCGAATGAGGTCCTTGTAATATTTCACGCCTGCTTCATTGATTTCGTTCGCATAACCTGGAATTTCAAAGCTGGTGAGATGGTGGGTGAATTGAAATAATTCCATTTATGGAATCAACCTGAACATCCGTTCATTAACACACTAGGACAGGGGTCTCCAAACTACGGCCCGCCAGTGTCATCAATCCGTCCCGCGACAAACACTGANTCATAAGATGACCGTTTCGGGAAAGAAGGAATTCGTTTCTTTTAGGACATCAACAACTGTAAGATTTGTTCGATTAAGCCTATCGTGCCACAATTGCTGCCAAAGATCGATTTCATTCTTTATGTTCGGTAAATCATAAAACTGGGCAATAGATACACAAGTTTGTTTCAGATTTTCATTTGTCATCTTTTGCATCTGCGCCGTGTTTTCTTCAGCAAAACGTACTTGAAGGGAGATGATAATTGAATCCAAGTATGGTATTATTAAAGACCTCTTCCAGTATTCTGAAGGGATTTCTGCTGGATTATTACTTCTATGACGTTGTTTCCCCGTAATACGCGACATCCTGCTAAGAAACTATTTGGTTTTCGAATAAATTTGTGTCATCCTCAATTGCTCTATTGGTGCACGGTATTATTCGATTCTCCAACATATCCAAATATTTATCACTAGTCAAATTATCGTCGATAAAAA